TTAAGTCACTCCGGAGGGTTACTTCGGAGGGTTGTTAAGACACTTAGCCTACTCCGGAGGGTTACTTCGGAGGGTTGTTAAGACACTTAGCCTACTCCGGAGGGTTACTTCGGAGGGTACCTTAGTCACCCAGGAGACTTCGGAGGGTCTCCTTTAACTCACTAAGGAGGGTCAATGAGAGGCTTAATATGCTTCGGAGGGTTACTTCGGAGGGTTCTTCCAAAATTTTCAAATTTTTCAACCTCACTTAGTAGGGCCTTCAACTAGCCTCAGGAAGCGTCAAAACAAGCTAAATTCTCTATGGGTGGTTGTTTTAACTTCTTCGGAGGGTCTCGTGGAAAATTTCCACTAAGGAGGGTTGCTAAGGGGTTTAAGTCACGAGGGTTACTTCGGAGGGTTCCCCAAAAATCAAGAAAACGGGTTATTCTACCGCGGTAAGGGGTTTAAGTCACGAGGGTTACTTCGGAGGGTTCCCCAAAAATCAAGAAAACGGGTTATTCTACCGCGGTAAAGTACCCGAAAGCGGTCTACCTAACTTAAAACCAGGTTGGTTGACACGGACAACCTTCCCAGTAGGTTGAAAAGTTGTTTTTATAAAATTTTCTGCCGCTCGGAGGGTTACCTATAATTTGGACCCTCCGAACCAACAAATTCCAAAAAAAAACTTTTTTCCGAGGTTATCAACCCAAAAACGGTTGCAGTCCGGAAAAGTGGTCAAAAACGTCGACTTATGGTACCAAAATTATCCCGATCGGTTGGCTAGTCTTTGAGAAGTTGCCAAAAACGCGTTTGTCAAAGTGACCCTTTTTTCACCACCTATTTAGGTTCTGAAAGTCTTTTTCCGCAATTCCTATTGAAAGTGCCTAGAAAAAATTGAAACGAGCGTAGTAGCCCCGTACAGCACTGGAATAATGCAAGAAACCGGACCAAAATTGGTTTGGAGACAAAAATTTGGCCAATAACTATCAAATTTGGACCCTTCGATTCCTTCCTTTTCAAATTCTTAAGTCGTTAGCTCTATCCACGGAGCTAATTGGAGGGTTACTCAAGAATTACACGTTATGCTAGCACGCTCCTAACACAAAAATTTTTATTGCTCTAACTCTAAAAACTCAAAAACTCGATCCCCAAAACAGATTGACAAAATTCAGAAAATTATCGAAATTTTGATCGAAAAATTTTTGTTTTTTCTATTTTCTACAGAGTACTTTCTCACGCGGTTTCTTTAGTCAGGGGGATCGAACTACGTAGCTACTCCCTATATAAAAGCTTTTTGCTGCTCGGAAAAGCTCGGATATCCAAAAATTTGGGGGTCTTTTGTTTGGTCGAAAATCGGTAATTTTCGACAAGTTTGGGTGTTTCTAGAGTCTAAATAGGAGACAGGTAATATATAATAAGGATAATAACTTATTAGTAGTCGTTAATGAATATAACTATACCCTCCTTGGCACCAAAATAACCGAATTAAGACCCTTAACTCGGAAATTTGTGATCGACGGAGGGTACAATCGGACCGCGCCAATCGTGTCCCCCACCATTTAGGTTTTAATGAAACAGTACCCGAACGATACTAAAATTGTTTCAACGAAACCCAACAGTCGTTGTGGATGTTGTCTTTGATGTCCCTGTTGAGTGTGGAACACGTCGGTCAGTTTGCCACTCTACCCTCCGGTCACCGGCAAAATCACCATTAACGTGCTTAAATACTCAAATTACACTCAAGGGAGGGTACCCAACCCTTCACCGAAACACACAATCTTTCTATCAGAAATGATATAAATCAATCTGAAACAACAAACAGGAAGGTCAGATCACATCTCGTCCGGAAATAACATATTAACTGTCACTTTATGTTTTTTACTGTTTTTGGTCTTTTTTGGATTTTTTACTTATTTTTGTACTTTTTTTTATTTTCAAGTAAATTTATTTTTGGCTTTTTCGTGGTTATACACTATTTTTGTTTGGTTTTACGCTTTCTCTTTAATTGTTTTTGGTCCCGGGACTTTGGGACAAGCGGGCTCATGACCTCCCACCTAACCCTCCGGCCCCCGGAATTTTCGGTGTTAACTAAGTTAAAAAGCTAAATAGTACTAGGCGGAGGGTACGCACCTTCCCCCTAGTACATTAAAGGTCATTAAGGCCTCTAACTCGGGCATGCGCCCGGAGCGGAGGGTTCGTCGCAGAAACGTTTGCTGATCATGATGGTCTCATGCCTTTAACAGGCCCACCCAGGAGCGCCATAAAAACGTCTGTAACATTCGCCCAAATACTACACAGCGACGGAGCGTAGAAAAAGTACCTATTAACGTTTGGCAGGCGTCAGTTACCTTAATTCTACTCGTTTTTCACCGTCTCGACCTTGCCAATTGAATTTTTGGTCTGTTTAGGGCTAAGTAAAAAGTTACTATTTTTAGGCCATCAGTCAAACGACTTTTGATCAGCTTTCGTTTACATGCAAACACAACCACATAGATGAGTCTCGGATCCTCAGACTAAGTGATTGCTATTAAAAACACGGCTCGTAGACCCTAGTTTAACATGTTTTTGGTGACAGTTCTACATTAAAACCATTGGAGATGGATTGACCCCTCCTCTTTCTAGCTACTCATATTCTAAAATATCAAATAATACCGGTGTCAATTCAAAGTTCTATGGCATCAGAGTAGCTAAAAAGTCAGTTTACTACAGTTTTTCGCCATATATCAGTCTCTGGCGGACCAAGCCTCCACTTCCGTGTTCTCCTCGAGATAACGTTGTTATCACTCCCAATTCGTGGCACGGGAGGGTACTGCTCACCACCACCGAAGCCTTCTTTCCCACTATCTTCTTTCACTAAGGATCTTATCGTGCGTGATTGTCACGATAAGAGGCTTCGTTTTTCCGTGTTCTCGTGTGACTGTTTTTCACTAGATTTGCTGTTGTTCTGTTTTTCTCAACTTTTTCGGTCAAAATGGCCGTTTTTCGTATTTCTGAGAAATACTCGCTCGTTAATCAAAATTTTGAAAAATTGAAACTTCCAGAATATTTCGACCCTCCTTTCAAGCACTTTTTAGCTGTTAAGGCTTTTTCTCTCTAATTCGTGCTTCGTCGGAAAGTTGCGCTGTGCCAATCTGGCAGAATGGCACAAGTAGATTGATCTTTTGTTAACGAATAGTTTAGATGGATTGGAGTAGGAGTTCTTAATCGCTGTTAAAAGGGAAGGGCAGGTATTTCGGTGATTTTTAATGGCAGCTTTCGGTTCAGCGAGTTGAAAGCGTTTTCGGCATCTATCAGTAAAACAGCATCGGCGGAAGTTTTGCTGTATTGATCTCTTAGCGTGTGGATCGCATATTCAATGCCACATTTTTGTCCTAGGCAGAGTTAGTAGTTTGAACAGAGCGACATGAGTTCATTTTTAGGCATTTAGTTATTGTTTGCCCTATTATCCTACGCATAACTTCTCCTATGCCTATGGGTCTTACTCCTGGATTCTTATCTAAGGGTATTAATCTGCATGCGTTATATGGTTCCATTAGTTCTGGATTTAGTTCTTCTGTGGCCAATTTTTTGGCAATTTTAGCAATTGTTTTTGAAATTTCAGCTGATTGTTGCCCGAAGTGTGTTAGAATACGTCTCCATTCATTCGCATCGAGGCCAGATGGTCCATGTGATCCGTGCGTTCTCATGGCTGCCTTCTTGATATGTTGACCGTTTATCTGATCAAATATCGATGGATGGAAAGGAATTGTTTCGTTTGAGACTGGTGTAATATAGTTCTCATTAATTGGTTCAGATGATGAGTGTTTCTCTATGAGAGTCTGTTCAACTGTCTTACCTTTGACAATCTCGTCGAGCGAAAGAACGCCTTTAGATGTGTCTGTTAGTTTTGCAATTTCGCTTGATGTTTTTCCAGTATTCATTAGTTTGTTGAACTGTTGTGCTTCAGTTTCAGTTTTTCTTCTACTTCCTTTCAAGAAGCGCATTTGCAGCGCCTTTTCTTCGTTATATAGTCCATCCAGGTCTCCGTCTTGCCATTGCTTAAGTCGCCTTGCTATTGTTTTGGACAAAGATCCATCAATTTCGGACTTTGTTTTGCTCAGTAATAAGTGTGGAAAAATCATTGCTGCGTGCATTGCGAAGGATTTTTTTGTTGTTTTCTATTAGGCTGTTCAAAGTTCTATTGAGGGTTTCAATAAAGTTATAACCAACTTTATTTTTTGACAAGATCATAAAGACCGGTTTCCAGTGGACCACTTCGGTGTATATTTTTCTGGTGGTTTCTATGAGTTCTGGACAGGGGTTTGACCATTGGTCTTGTATTGTTCTGGGTTCTATAGTGGAAGACTCTCCTGAGTTTTGTGAGTGTGGGGCAGTGGAAGGGTGAGGGTGCATTTGGGGGAGCGTGGTTGTAGCTAGGGTTGGGGATTGCATTTATGCTTGTCGTTAGGTGCAGCGATGACAACTGAAATCGTCATAGTGATCACTGCTGCGGGCTAGGCCGCTGCATTTTACATGCATGTAGCCTGGGCATGTGAAGCACCAAACACCTCCGCCTCGCAGGCTGCTTTTACAAATAAGGCAGTGTGTTTGAGTAGCCATTTTAGGATGGACGGCGGTGTCAAGTTAGCGAGAGAATTTATAGATTAAATTTGCTAGAAAATTTGTAAAGAAATCATTACCGTAGAACGAGAAATGGATGCCATCATGGCAGAACATTTGAGGGGTTAGGTTTAGGTTGAGGTTAGGCGAAAGAATAAGTGTATAGGGGTGTAGAAACAATAAGTACATAATTGCATTATAAATTATGTAATCATTATTTACATTTTCATGTAAATTTCTGAGATTTTTTAGTTTTTTAGTACTTAAACTTCATTTTTATTTATGATTTTTAATGAGCAAATTTTCTTTTTTTTGTGGAGCAAATTTCTGCTTCTCCTTTGTTCTAAAAAGCTCTAAGTTTTACCGTTTTTTTTGCGGAGAAATGAATATAAATTTCGATATGATGCATTGTACATGTGTCTTAGATGTTATATGCGCAAGTTGAGACCGAACATGATTGTTGCAATACTTGGAGCAACGGCATCTGGTAAAACGAAATTATCGCTGAGCCTGGGGGAAAAGTTTGGAGGTGAAATTATTTCGGCAGACTCCATGCAGATATATCGGGGTCTAGGTATGCGCTCTTACAATTACTTTGTGTATCTGCGCTATACCTTTGTCATTAAAATTTATGCGCAATCTTTGCGCAAACAGTTTTTTTTATTTCCTCGTGGATTGTCTTAAAAATAGCTTTGTCAGCATAGCATGATGATATTATTGATCCTGTTTTAGACTTAGCCACCGCGAAAGCCACAGAAGAAGAGCGAAATAGTGTCCCACACCACATGATTGACTTTTTGGACCCAACTGAGGAGTCATTCACCGTCCAAGATTTTAAACGTCAAAGTTTGGAAGTAATGCAAAGACTTCGAAGGGAGAACAAAATGGGCATTATAGTTGGTGGTACAAATTATTACATAGAGTCGCTCATCTGGGACTTTACCATGCATTCTAGCCATGATATTCAAGCATACAAAAAGAATGACGTGGAATCTGAAACAACACCAGAGTTATACGCTAGGTTGTGTTCTTTGGACAGTGAGACTGCCATGAAATTACATCCAAACAACAGACGCAAAATTTTGACCGCTTTGCATTATCTAAAAAGTAGCGGTAATCCTCTGTCAAAAGAAATAACGAAACAGCACTCAACTGTTTCTTCAGTACAAGACGGGGACAGGGTTCGAGGTTGCTTGAGGTTTTCCAACTGCATCGGTTTAATGATCGACTGTTCGCCTGATGTGCTAGAAAAGAGAATACGAACCAGAGTAGATAAGATGATAAGTGAAGGTCTACTCGAGGAGTTAGAAGATTTTAACTCGAACTACTACGAACAAAGGGTTGACAAAGGATTCGAAACAGGAATCTTCCAAGTTCTTGGTTTTAAAGAATTTGAAAATTATTTTTCTCTATCTAAATGTGATCGAGACACAAAAGAGGGCAGGAAAATATACAACCAAGCAGTCGAATTGTTGAAGCAAAGATCTGTAAGGTATTCAAAGTCGCAACTCAAGTGGATATCGAAGCGCATATTACAAGATGGTGATCCTGAAACTAGACTCAAAGTTTACAGACTAGATTCATCTGACCTTAATGCATGGAACGAAAATGTGAATGAGCCGGCAATTGAAATTGTCCAAAGTCATCTCAATGGAACCATTTGTAAATATGAACCTATTCAGAGATTGCTTAAACGGAATTTGGATCCTCATAGACGGTTTGTATGTGATATTTGCTCCGGAAAAGTGCTCATAGGAGAAATCTGTTACAAGGAACATATCAAAGGCAAACAACATATTGCAAATCTGAAGAAGCGACAAATAAAGAAACCAGAGGATGACAGCGAACTTGTCATATTGAATTGATTTTTTTAAAAATTGTAATCTTTTAAAGTTCTGTGACGTTGTTGAAAATCTTGAAACAATTTCGCGAATAAGTGACATGTAATCGGGAAAATTGTGAAAGGTGCAATTATACAATTGCGCGAACGAATGACATGTAATCATGTTACGCTGGCAATAATTATGCGTTATCCAATCGGAGACCTTTTTTTTTCAGGTATGCAACTTGCCTAACAGACTCATTGAATTATTTCGAATGTTAACTTGATCATAAAATCAAATTCTTTGTCTCCTGTGACACTTTGGCCTAGCGGTAACGGCTACGCTTGGGACGAGAAATTTTCCCGAGGAGTTAGAATTAGCCTGTACTCTTATTGCCAACTTTAAAAAATGTCTCAGTTAAAAAATTCGATTTATCGTTCGCTTGTTTATTTTTTGTCATATTAGCTTCCGCCTCGCAAAGTTTTCTATTAAATAGGAAGACTTTTTTCGGGTTAACAACTAGTTTAACAAAATCAGTAGACTCAATTGCTGCTATGCTGCTCGATTTCATGAAATTTCAAATAAAACCAGCTGGTAGTGAATAGGTGGAATACGTTTTGGGCATTAAATTTTTTTCTTCAAATAAATTTCTTGAAAAAAAGTTTTTTTTTCGGATTTGTGGTTTTCGGCCTAGTTTCCGTCGGCTTTCCGTATTTTTTAAAGGGCATTTATTTTATCTATTTCTACTTTTTGTCGGCCGGCTTTGTAAAACTGGGATTTTATTTTGATTCTTATTTTTTAACTAGAATTTAAATTATTTGTCATTTTACCAAGTCTGATTTCAAATAATTTTGTTTTTGATTTGAAGTTTTTTTGATTCAACGGTTTCGGCTCAGTTTTATCGTCTTAGTTAATTTATTTTGCATAGTTTCTAAGGCCGAAAGTTTCCGGTTGGACAAAATCAGACAGTATGAAATTGTATGATATTGGGTTTTTATTTTTTGAGACGTTTTCGATTTTTTTCATTTTTTGTAAGATTTCAAGTTCGGTGGAAAACTATTTTATCTCTGTGCCTGCACATTCTTCTAACCTCTTTATACTTTGCCTTCGAAAATGTCTGGGGAGAATGTTTTTCAAAAACAAGTCTTCCAAATATGACATTTTGGGTTCAATGCATATAATATAGTTTTTGTAGAAAGATCTTCTGCACATGCGGCTACGCCCATTTTTTTCCAAATAGAAAGTTATGGGCCTCGGAAAGGTCAAATTTTGCCATTTTTGACAGTTTTTTGGCTTTTCTCGAAAACTATTCCCAATTCTGGAGATTTTGGGTTCAATTCAATTAATGGGTTGTGTAAAGCTACCTTGAATAACTGACTGCACCTATTTTTGATAAACATAAAGGCTATGGCCCTCGAAAAAGTTACAACTTGGTTTTTGTACCGTATTTTGAAACTATTCGATTTTCTCGAAAATTACCCTCCCAAATCTTTAGTCGTTGTGTTCAATCGAAACAACAGGTTGTTTGAACCTCTTCTGCCCACGCGAATTTTCCCAAAAATGTTCAAACAAAAGGTATGGGACTCGAAAAAGTTAACACTTGCGTTTTGTACCCTTTTGTGAAATTTTTGACTTCTCGAAAACTACCCAGCTAATTCTTAGCTTAAGTGTTCAATCGAACCCAATCGTAGAAATATTCTCTGCTTAAGCGGCCACGTCCTTCCTTTGCAGAGAAATTTTTGGATTTCAACAAGTCAATTTTTGAACGTTTGATTGTTTTTTGGTCTTTTTTTTTACGTTTCTTAGAAACTATCCTATGAAATCTGAAGTGAAGGGTTCCATGGAAAGAACAGCTTGGGATTTTTTTTCTGCAGAAGCGGTGATTCCTTAATTTTTGTAAAGAAAATGCGAGATCTCAGAAAAGCTTCCTAATGCTGAAAAATTTTGAATTAATTTTTAAAATACCCATTAAGAAAAAAAATAAAAAAAGATCAGACCTTTTCCTCTAGTTTTTTTGCTGTGCTCCTGAATATCTTTCTTTGAGCTATACGAACTTTTTGGTTCGCCTGAAACTTTTTCTTTATTTTTAGAAAAAAATTTTGACCGATATTTTATGTTCGCTCCGCTTCGCCTCCGTGTTTAATAGCATTTTTTAAAGCTCAAATCCGGGCCTTTCAAAGCATTTTGGACGATGCATGGTGATTTTTTTTGATACTGATTTTCTTTTGGGTTAAATGCTCTGTCAATTTTATTTTTGCTTTTGGGCTTCAGTTTTTGTTTTTGACGTAGAAGAACCTCGTGATTTAGTTCATTGGTTTGCTAAATACAATTGAACGAAAAAGTGTCATGCAGTCGGTAAGTTCGTGAAAGGTGCAATTATTTTATTGCCAGAACAAAAGACTTGTAATCATGTTATGCTTGCGATTAGTCAGCGTTATCAAAGCGGAGCGCAGACCTTTTTTCAGGCGAGCAACTTGTCTAACAGAGTGTTTGAATCATTTAGAATAATAAGCTGATCAGAAATTGAAATTCTTTGTCTTCTCCGGAACTTTTGGCTTTGCGGTATTGGCTACGCCTGGGTCGTGAAAGCTTGTTGGAAAGCTCGAATCTGCATCTCTCTATGCTATATTAAATGCGTGTGACAGCTGTCTCTTCAAGAATAAGCTTTTCCAGTTTTGCATGTTTAAGGAAAGAATTTAAGCCATATGCTCGTTATAGTTTATTGCAAAGCTTAAGGAGTTTTTCGACTTCAGTTGATGAATGCTACGCCTAGTGAATGGCCCTGTTGTAAGTTGACGTCAGTTAGAATTTGTTTGGGGGTGCTGTCAGGTTTGTCCCCGGGGGTTGCGAAGTTGGCCTACAAATATGATTACCTAAATCCTTTTGGTTCCCGTTTTATGCCGTTTTTGTGCATTTTTCCTAAAATTTGCACAAAAAACGAGATTCGCAAAACTTCACAAAATTGGAAGTCCCATCCCTATAATTGGCTGCTGTCAGTCAGAGGTTCCAGATCTTGCCTCCAAATATGCCTGCTCAAATTTTTTTTTCTGAGATAAATCGTTTTTTTTATGTTTGTTTCGAATTCAAAATACCGAACATTATTGGGGGTTCTTTCACAGTACTTTCAGGAATCGCAAATTTTACCTCCAAACATGACTGCTCAAAATCTTTCAGCTGCTGAGATATGACGTTATATATAATTTTTAAAACGGTTTCTGAAAAATTAGGTTCAATTTATTTTAACGAAAGTTGAAATTCCCAATGCTACAATTTGATGCTGGTACTGTCAGAGTTTAGCAAGTCTTGCCTCAAAAATTGGCTGATCAGCGCTTTTGTACTCTGAAGTATGGAATTTTTATGGTTTTTCATAATAAAAACTTAAATAATTCAAACGTTTTATAAACTCTTCAACTTCTGAAATTGTCGAACTGTTGCTGGTGTGATGTCAAGGTGTTCCTAGCACCTGAAAATATGGCATACTTACATGATTGTTAATATCTTTTTAGTTATCCAATTTCGATGATTTTTTATTTAGAAACAAAAATATAACAATCTCAGATCCAGTTCCTTTCAAATTTTGAAATTTCCGACTCTATGGTGGTGGGATGTGAAGTTAACCAAGATACCCAACAAGACATGCCTCCATATAGCTATCCCCCCTACTAGCAATCCATCCATCAAGCTATAAACCCATCGATCAAGGTTTATTTATCAAGCGATCCATCCAACTAACCATCAATCCATCCAATCAGTCATCGATCCATCACGTTACTCGTTCATCTTAATATCCGTCCATTCAGTCCTCTCCCAATCTAGCCGTCCATGTATACAGCCATCTTTTTAGCTAACCATTAGTTTGTCTAGCTATCCATCCAGTCATCAATCTATCTAGCCATCCTGTCAGTCTTATATCCGGCGGCCATCAACCAACTAGTCATCCATCCCTCTAGTTATCCATCCATCCATACATCCTTTTATCAGTTGAGTCGTCCATCCATGAAAACATCCATACATCCAACCACTCAATCCTCGATCCAGCCATCACTCAAGCCATGCATCCATTCAACCCTTCATTAAATTAGTCGTCTGGCCATCCATCTGGACAGCCATCCATGCGTCCATCTACCGACCCATCTTGCCTTCAATCCATTCTTTCAATAAATCCAGCCAATGATTCAAACATTGATTCGTCCATTCAGCCAGTCTTGCAACCAGCTATACATCCATCTATCCAAACTTTGAGATTAAAGGTTTTCAGAAACAGCTTTAGCGTGCTAGTTTTATTCAATTGAGCGAGACATTTCCAGCTATGTTTATGCGAAATTTACATAATTAAAAGCTATTTGCTGTCGTTACATATTTTAGCTACAGTCTGCATTCATATAGCTATGCTGTGCAGATAGGTTTAAGCGCTACTGCTAGCCTGCAGATTTTTTAAAATCTAACATCGGTTTTGTTCCTAATCGCATTGCTATAATTTAAAGATGCGTGTTTCAATTAAATCATGCTTTGCAATGTTTATTGCACTTCTCGAATAGCACTTCCAAAAATCAAAATCGGGCTGTTCGTAGTGATTTTGACGATGCTTGATATTTTTTTGATACTGTTCTACCTTTTAAACTAACCATTCTGTCATTACTCTTCTTGGTTTTGGGGTTCAGTTTCGTTTTGAAGACCCTCGTTGGCTGCATGGGCTCAGTTGGTAGTTCTTAAGATTGTTATGAAGGTTAAAGGAACATGGCTAAGTTGGTAGAAGCAGTAACCGTAAAGTGATTATGTGCAAGAGTTTTAATTAAACCGGCTACGAGGGCCTACAACTACCTTTCCGGTAAACCTTTGCTCGGTAGAGGAGTTTCCGCAGGTAGAAGATATTTATTTCTAAAAATGCTACTAATGTTTCAAAACAGCTTTGAACTGGTTTTTCTGTTTTTTTAATCCTGAAAATCTCTTGAAAAAAAAACAATCTATCCAGATTCTTTTTTTCTGATGAAATTTTGACACCATTTTTTTGAATTTAAAAATCTCATTTTTTCGTTTTCTGCTGTTTGTTTTCTTATTTTTTTTCTAAAAAAGACTTTTCTACTGAGTTTCAGCAAACGAAACAATGCAGCGGTTCTTTTAAGTGTTTTCTACAAAGATTTTTTTCTTCATTTTATTTGATTCTTAAGAAAAGGCTTCCGAAGTTCCGCGTTAATTTGTTTTTTTTTCAAGGAGCTTTCAATTTTTGTTCTCGATTTATTCTTTTAGAGAAAAAATCTGCTTTGGTTTGTATCTTTTTCAACCTCACATAAAATTTTTAATTGGTTTCTTTCTTATTAGTAAAAAAATAAGTTCGGTGTTTTCTTAAATAATAGCATTATTAATCAATGCTAGATAATAATTATTTTCCCAGTAATTTGCTTTTTTTTTCAATTTAAAGCAAATACAAGACTGCTCGTATCAGGGCGAAGCCCTGAAAGTTCCGACTGCCTTTTAAGGTTTATGGGGCAGTAATAATATTAAAAAGTTAAATGTGAAAAAAATAAAAGGAAATTTTTTTTTGAAATTTGAATTTTTTAAATGAAAATCATCCCCCCACACGCCATATGAAGTACAAAGGATAGATTTCGCTCCTATTAACAAATTAATTATGGCAAATACGCTTCTTTCAACCAATTTGGAACAATTTCTAAGACGGATTAACTCTCCGCTTACGCGTTAATAGCGCGAAATATATCGCGCGTTAATTGTCCCAAATTGGCCAAAATGCCAATCTCTAAACCCCCAAAACTTTACGAAAAATGATCACAGGTGAAATATCTTTTCAAATTTAAGCTCAAGACAACAATACCTTTCGAATGATATAAAAAATTCCGTCAAAAACGGCTAGTTAAAAAGTCGAAATTTGTCTGAAGAAAAAAAAACCCACCCCGAGCACAAATATTCCGTTACTTTCGTATCGAAATTCGGAACAATAAGTCTGCTGGTCGTACGAGAGAATCAGTTTTTATATTACTTTCTCTCGCTAGTGTTTGTGAAGCGCAGCCTTGCTTATGTATCGATTTTTAAAAATGATTGTATGGTGCAGTTTTTTGTCAGCGCGTCATTTTTCAAAATCAGTTTAAAGGTTCCCATCGTATATTTCATTTGCTAGCTTGCAATGCTGTTTGCGTGGCATTGCATTTGTTAGAATTTTAAATGCATGCAATTGCGTGTTCTGCAGGCGGCCTTAAACTTGGAATTTCACAATTATAACTCTTAATGCATAAATGTATTTACATATATAATGTTGTTAAGCTTTGAAAATCTGTATAGAGAGTTATCATAGTTGTTGGTTCTCAGGTTTTTAGAAAGAATAGTTCTTAAGCTCAATGGAAGTCAGGATTCAGATAAACATATTTTGTGAAGTTTGGGACAATTTTTCATAATTTGTACCGAGCTCTCCGACTTTCAAACACAACGAGCTGCTTTTGTGATACCTATGTTTTTACATATGGGAGGGATCCAATGTCATGCTGTTAACTGAAGGACTATATCAGACATTGGTATTTTATAACTTTGAAGACGCGATAAAATTGTTGTCACTTATACGCTAATGTATAATTATATGGATCGGGAGTTGGTTGAAATGAATGAATTCTAGGATTAAACTAGCATTTGGTCAATGTGCGGAAAGTGCAGTTGCTGTTGGTTTGATCTGGGAAGTAGTTTACTTCCTAGCATTTCGGTTAAGGTCGTTATAACTTGATAGAGATTTAATAGCAGTTCTTATATTCCCGTTAAAGCCTCTATCGAATCCTCTTGGTTTGTTTTATGCGCGCTTCAAAGACGACGCGAAATGCAAAGCATATATCCTCAATATTCAAATCACAAGCAATGTTTTCATTGGAAAAAACGGCTCCCTATTGTTTTTGCTTGCTCCTACGCGACTAAGTAGCCTTCTTTAAATATTAAAGAAGTTTTATGGAGGCTTTTAAGGCTGGTTGTTAATTGTGAAATTATAATAGGTGGGTCTTACAAATCCGGATTGCGATGTGATTATTAGTCCGTTACCAATAAAAGCTTGTACACGTCAGTTATTTTATGTTGTGTCTCTCGGAGGTTTCATTGTGAAAAAAAGAAAGAAAGCGAGACTTGTATACCATAAAGAATTTTGACTTATCAGTGGTTTTTAAAAACCAATGAATAGAACAGCAAAGGTTAGCCGATGGTGGTTTTGTTTACCGTACGGGTGGTGTAAATGGGAAAACGAACTTCCGTGATGTTTGTTCCTTGTTTATTACGGAGGCAGACTACCAACAATTGATACTAACCGAACCATATAGCATATTGTATTGCGTCCTCGAGGCATACAGTTCACGTTACGATTTGCTGATTTCTTTTCTCATTTCTTTTTTAATTTGATTTATTATTCATTGCTACCTAATTTTATTCGCCTGCCTCTTTTGCTATAAACTTGAACTGCAAATTGGTACAACTTAGGACACTAGGTGAGTTAACATTTTTAATTTTTAAAACCCCAAAAATTGCCTCCATGCTATTAGAGCCATTGCTCTTATCTACTTCTTCTAAAAATTTTTTACCGATTGGTGAGGTTTTGATCGTCCAAAATATATTGTTTAGGTTAGTGATGGTTGAGAGTCGTTTTGAAGTACACTTTTTGAACAATTAAAGCTAGGTCGTAAGCTGCGTTAAAGTTTTTGTTGCGTTTTCTCAGATTACCTGTGGCACTTGGTTCATATGCATACCATTAATGTCTCCGAAAATTTCAGTTGAATAATTTACTAATTATGCAATTTACTAATTATCGGTTGTGCAAATGCTAATGATCTGAAAGACATCAATCTTGAAGTTTTTAAAGAAAACTCAATCATTACGATCACGAAGGCTTCGGTTGAAAGTTTTCAGCGTAAAATCTAGTTCCGGCAGCCTACAATGTCGAGTGATATTAATATATGAAAGCAGTTTTGTTGAATTTTCGAAAACGTGTACTTTTCAGACTATTTCTAAAATTTTGAAGTTAAAATAGCATGTCATTTAACCCATTGAAGAAACAGACTAAATTGCTACCATTCAGATACTAGGCTGTCCTTCTGAGTGATTGCTGTCACTTTAAACTCAAGCGAATTCCATTGTGAACATTTCCAGTGAATATTGCCGCTTTTTTGTGAATTCATTAGCACCAAGTATGTGTTTTGAGGTTTTATTAAGATTAATGAACGTAGTGAAACCTTACATAGGTCTTGGTGATGTTTTTTTTGCAGGAAAAAGTCTTAAATTGCTCTAATAACTACAGATGTGCATTCATACATATTAATGCATTTATGAATGCACTTAGGTGTATATGCACTTTTTGAGTTCAGTTGGAATTCATCTGCTGAAAGTGACGTAAATAGAACTTACTAAGTACGAACGTGGAAACGGCGCGAAAAAGTGTGAACGATTTCTAATTTCGAAAGTGGAATTTAGTTTTAAGATTTCCAGCGGTATAAAAACTTTACCTATTACCCTTTACCAGTTTTCTCAAGTTGGGTTCATGTTATCAAAAAAGAGTCAATCATAAAGTTTTCTTGAAATTAAAAAGTTAAAGGGCATCTAGTTTTTTCTTTGAAATTCGAAAGTTGAGATTTTTTCATTGAAGTCAGTGTTTTTTTTCATAAGTCTTTTCCTCCAACTTTCAGATAATCCCTATGTAATATAACTCATTTTCTATTAATTTGCAAAGAATAAACTGATAGAATAAATCATTTTTTGGATCCGTTTCTTATTTACATAGCAAAATTGTGGAGTAAACATTGTTAATCGAGGCTCATAAGTGCTCAGCCTAGTATTGAGACTTAATTTGAGTCTACATAACGGGATTCAAAAGATTTAAAACCTCCATATGGTACCGCGACAACTCACAAATAAAGACAACTGCAAAATTTCAGGAAAGCGACAACTCGCAAGTTTTTGGAGCTAATTGGAAATTTTATATTCTCGGCTTAATGTCGCCGGTGGGCGCGCCGTTTTGCGGCGATAACGGGCTCTAAAGTTTGTACAAAGTCCTACCCTCTGGTGGCAAGCTCGCAACGCGTTGGCGCGACTGCGGCGGTGAGTATATTGCGAGTTTTTTAATGTGAGTTGTCTTTTATTGCGAGTTGTCTTTTCTTGCGAATTGTCGCATTACGCCTACATATATGTCCTCAAAAGTAGATTTGATAAATCGATGAATCTAAATTTAAGTGTGGGGTAAATGGCATAAGGTAGATTGGCATAGTTGGTATATACTATAGAATGTCATATGGTAGACTGGGATAGGGTATGTTGGGTGAATTTACTGGATAAAACTTATTCTTATTTACACGCTCTTCTCCGCCACCGCCACCCTCCTGACAAAGAAGACAAAAATATTCAAGAAATTTTAATCATTTATACTCGTAATTTACCGTTGGTTAGAACACTAGTTGCTACTTGCAAGGTAACCAGATCGTCTTGTTTGTTTTTGCTTGTGTTAGTAAGCAGAAATTCCCCTGTGGTCAATGTTTATATTATGATATAGAGTGGTGCATGACAGCGAGTAAAAGAAAAGACAGCAAGATCTTGGCATGAATTATTTAATCATTTCTGGGCGTGCAGTTTTTATTATGAAAGTAGCTGCTAGTCTTTAATTGAGTGTGCTGGTGGGTTATCATTCTCGTTATGCCAGTGAAGCAGCCTCATCAATTATTAAAACTCATTATCCTGCCTAATCGAATCAGACAGATAAATGCAACTCTGTTTTATTATGAATTCAGCGCCACCTGCGATTGAGTTCGTAAAGTTTTTCAACTAACTTATTGCGTCAGAAAGAGAAAAAAAATGTTCATGATCATCGGATCAAATTGCGTCATTTTCTTTTGGTTGCAATGAAAGAAAACATGTGTTTTATTAGTGTTGTTGGGTTGTTAAAATAATTGGCAAATATACATGGCCACTGGTTATGGTAGGAAAGAATTGGTATCCAGGTAGTGTATTACCAGCACGTGTTTTGAGCCAGCGACAAGTAATTATTCTGGCGTAGCAAAGGAGGGATTGTTTGGAATTGGAAAGTGGGAATCTATGACAGTACGAGCAACGCCTGCATTTTTGTATTGTTCGCCAGATTTTTGTACTGCACTTTTCTGCCCGAACTGGGCTTAGGGCGAACTGCCATTTGGCGTGGGAATTTGATTTAAATAAAAATAATCAACTGCAGTGTGTTTCCTCTGGCATCGCTAGTGACTTTCTCTCCCAAATTTCAGATGTTGAACACGTGGATATTTTACCACTACTAACGGAATGCGAGGCTTGTTCGGTAATCTCAATATTTGAAAAAGTGACTGACTTAATGCTCTAAATCCAGTTGAAGTTGCTTTCATAAGGGTAGCTGCTGGAAAGCCTATTGATTGTTCCAGTGTGTTGTGTTGACGCTGTGGCGTGAACTAAACCCTCAGATAAGTGTTCCTTTCCTCCCCCCGTGGGCAGCCTCCCGGCAAATAGGAAGTGCTTATCATCCATTATTTACACTTACCTGAACGAATCTGTTTATTAGCTTGCTTTTTCAAGTCAGTTTGTATTAGAACTGCTACCGCACCAGAAGTTAGCGAGCTCAGAACATTTGAATTTTCTTCGAATTCGACCAGTTCAAGTAAGTCGTTCGTTATTCATATCTATCTAACTATCTATCTATTTCGCCGTTTCGCCTCTGTGGTAAAAGTTTTAACTTTTCGAAAGAAACGTGTTTTTCAGATGAGGTCGTTGTCTTATGAGAGCTTCTCTAAGGTTATAGAGAAAAATTGAAGTGCTGAAAGAGAGAAAATGGTTTGCTCTGCTCTTAAAGTTAGAAAATAAAAGTATACATCTAATTAAAGTATCTTTGTTAGTAAAATAAAAACTTTTTCTGCTTGGCCCTTACCAGTATCCACTGCAAGGCTGCAGTTATGAGTTCGAAACATGAAGCTCCACCTCGTAGTCGGGTAGAAGATTTGATTTTTATGCAAAATTTAAAGTTCTTTGGAAAGAATTCATTTATATTTGGCTTTGTAGTGTAGTGCTTTTTTGCTAGAGCTTGCGTGCAATGTTAGAAAGTTTAAAAAACTCGCGTGTTCATCCCAAATCCTATTTTAATGAATGCTTTCTTTTCTTTTATACAGTGAATTAATAAAAAGACTTCTTATGAACGTAGTTTTAGTTTTTTTTTTCGTTTAAAAGCAGTATTTTAGATGGTGACAGGCTTATTTGGGATTTTTGAAGTTGAAACTGGAAGTTAATAAACTTGATGGCTGTAGAGGAGAGAAATTTTTGGAGCTTTATCAAAAAAAAGTTGAGTTTGGTTCGTTTTTCAGTCGGTTTTTTTTCGGGACTAATGCTTTCAGGAAATGACGGATTATATTACAGTTCGGTCGAAGCACCGTGGGTGCGAGTTTCGCGAGTCTAAAATTATTTGAAAGATTGTTAATGGGAAAAAAGTTTGAATAAACTTTTTCACGAAATCTTGAAAGAAGTGAAAGCGGTCTTCTTTTTGTTGCTGGTCAAGATGCTACGTGTCATCGCTTAACAAAACCTTTTATACTGAATGAAAATTTGATAATCAACCTGGTAACGAATACGCCTGGGACGGCAAAGGTTCTGGGTTGGAATCTGACCAGGGCTTTTTTCTAACGGTGCAACCGAACATTCGTTCGACGAAAAACTTTCGAAGGCTTTCGTGAATGATCGCTGCTATTTAACTTGCGTGTTGTTGAGTTGCTTACACTAAGTATTCAAGACTCACTACTTTGGCGAGGAAAATCGAGGAAAAGTTTTTTTGCTGTACTTAATTTTTATTGTAGTTGCTTATATTGTTTTGATTTGTAGTTTTACTAACCTTGACTTCGTGGAATAAGTGGCTTTCCTTTCTTTTCCTGTCTGCTAGCTTGCAATGCTATTTTTATGAGACATCGCAAGTGGTGCGAAGCTCCGAATCGACTCAGTGTAATAATTTATTCAATTGAATCTGGTTAGTTATAAGTTGAGTGTAATTTATTCGAGAGCTTCGTCAGATAAATTCCTCTTCTTCCCCCGTTGAGGCAGCGTTTCCGCAGTTCCACCATCTACGTTAGCAGCAACGAATATGGTATTCGCAAAATTGTTTGGCAAATTAGTTTGAGTTGTACAGTTTCTTTCATTGCTATGGACATGTGAAACTAACAGAAAACCACTGTGCAAATGCATATTTGAATCAAATATTTGACTACACTAATGACAAATTGTCATTGTTGTGTCAGTAGTTTCCATAGTTCCCAGCCTTAGTATTTCTGGAAACTAATTACTGTACGCTTGCGTTTAGCAAGGATTTACAAATCGAAACAGAGACTTCCTCCAGGTTAGCAACTTGACTAACATTCTCTGAATCATTTCGTCAGCTTTTTCATCAACTCTGTTATTTCATCAGCCAACAGACATGTTTTGAGAATGTCTGCGTTTTAGAGAACCATTATTCCAAAGTTGT